GTTTATTTTTGTTTGTGTGGTTCAGCAGAGGGAGGTTCCATCCCACTGCCTGTCTACGGTATGGTTTACGAGTGAGATCTGCACAAATGCAAAGAAATAATGAGAGAAAACGTTGAGATTCTTAACATACTTTCTTCAAATCTTATGGTTTACACACATTTTCTTATTATTTGACACAATTGCCTTTTAAACTGTAGGACTTGTGTAACTGAGTCAGGTGGATCGTACTGTTTTAGCTAAAATGTTCTATGGGACTGATATCAATGCGTTGTGATGGTCTCTCCAAAACAGTCTTTTTTTCTTTTTATTGCTGCTGCTTGTTTCTTATGGTCCTCGAGCCATTTTGTGACTGATTTGGCAGTATTATTGGTGCCAGCCTCTATTTTACCTATCTTTTTGTCTTTTTATGTAGCGTACACACATTTTCTTTCAACTAAAAATGATGGGAAAAAAAAAAAAAAAAACATTTTGTTGAATGCACTGAATGCAATTCCCAACCAAAACTGTCACATCGGTTATGGGAAGCGTCTTGACTTTTTTTGTCTAATGCAAGTCAACAGAAAGTTTACTTTAGGAGTATTTTGGTCTCCACATGGAGAACAGGAAGGGACAATTAGCATATAAACAATCAATAACACAAAGGAAAAAATGAGTCAAGGATGGATATGGATATACACTTAGTCGTGATTTAATCTGTTTGGCTGAGAACAGGAAGAGCAAGACAGGGGAGGGTTTTTTGGGTTTTTTTTTTTTGGAAAGAGAGAGGAGAGGGAGAAAAAAGTATAGGATGTTGGCATGCGAGGAGAGGCAGTCTGCGGTAGACTTGTAAATAGCCGGAGGGACAGAGGGATGGAGGAATAGAGCTATCAGCGGAGAAGTGATGAAGGTCTGGGATCTGGCCAAGATAAACACACACCAGCCCAAAAGGAGCAGCGGCAACACACACACACACTCACACACATTTCAGAACTTTACAACACATAGAAATGCAACATATAAGGCTGCAAGCACTTTATATCCATCATACACCTACTTGTACTCAGGCACACATACACACCTGCAGAAAAATAAACAGTGCTCTATATGGATCACCAACCACAGCTTCTTGAGTGTTAAGCTGTGTGACAACAGGCCGGGCTGTCATTTTGACATCTCTTTTCATCACATGCTACATTAGTCCATTTGCTCAGATACCACAGAATAAACATGTAGAGAAAAGAAATGGTTGGAGTTTTATTTTTAAACACGTGAAATAAACAAAGTTGAGTCCTCTGAAAATCCCTCTTGGCAGGGTCATTTCAAAAGTTTCTAATTATCGTAAATTCTCAACTTTGGAAAAGCGGTGTCTGGCAGATTTAATCGTGGATGCAAGAAAGATCCCTGCCACTGCTTTTAATGTGTCTGCTCATCTTTTGTTTTTGTCTTTTCCCCACTGCTTTTGTGCAACTCGGTATGACTGAGCCGGGATGTTACGGTGTGCGTGTGACCAAGCTTCATTGGTGAGCCATGAAGCGAAGGCTCTCCTGCTCTGTCTTGCCTTCAGCCAACGCACACCTCGACTGAGACCTTAAAAGTTGCTAAATGTTATCTTAAGAGTGGCATTCAGAGGCAAAAACTGCAGCGTGAAAGAGCGGCCGTGAAGCGTGCCGAGCTGGAATGCAAAACACAAGCCATGGTCATCACTCTGTCACCATCCTGATTTGGAGGACCAGTGCAAGTCAGCTCAGTTTCGGCTAAAACCGTGTTGCACATCATTGTCATAAAGCAGATACCTGAAAAAATAAAAAAAAATTTTAAAAAGAAGAAGCCAAGATTACCTAAAGCAGCTGTGAGGACTACTTAAAAAGCAGTTCAAATTATTTTCATTGACATGTCAAAGGCTGCTTCTTAAAACAACGGAGCCTAGGCTACATACAGGCTTTGTGGTTTTGATGACTTAGTATTTGAACTGTTCCTTGTCTGGACTAAAACAATTATGCAAGCAACTGCAATTAGATGCAAGAATTGGGCCTGCAAGTTTGAGTTTGTGAAGGATTTTCTCTAATCCACACAGGGTCATACATGTTTACACACACACTCAAATATATGCAGTCGTATGGAACAATGTGGACACCTTGCAACGTCCTGTGTGTTTTCTGATGTGCTTTACAGACATTAAGTTTCAGTTTTAACAATAGGCCAAGCTGAAGATTAAAGACACATCAATAAGCAATACAACTAAAGACCTTTATTATGCTTGTACAAAGTTTTTCCTGTAAAATATAACTAAAAGAAATGCATTTTTTTTTTAGTAAGGAATGGATTAGGACACCCTCACATTTTTTTCAAGCTTAAAATGGTTAAAGTTAGACTTTGGTATACTTGATTAGGTGGACATTAGAATATTGTTTCTCTGCATTTTTTTTAAACTGTAGACTGTAGCAGCACATGAATCTGATGAGGAATTAAAAGAAACTTGAAATCAATCACAGTCTACAGGGGGGAGGACGTTCAAAACAACTACACTCATGCCTAGTACAGCTGCTCATCCTGAAAACAAACCGCAAGATGCTAAAAGAAGTCTCGGCAGGCGCTTGCAACTCTTGATATGAAGGCGGATTCCTCTACAATCAGAAAGAAACTGCTCAAGTGTGACTTCCATGGAAACATTTTGTGTCCAAGAAAATCATAAAGTCCAGTCTGAATTTTGCTGAAGAAAAAAAACAAAAAAACAAAAACAAAAAAAACAGACCAAGTCCAGGACTTCTGGAATAATGTTCTTTGGACATTTGAGTCTAAAAGGAAAATGATTGGACAACAGAGGCAATTACATGTTTGGTGTAAATAAAATACAGCATTCCAGGGGCAAAAACTCACATCAGCAGAGTTCAAATTTGCAGGGCTTTTTTTTGCAGGGCTTTTTTTTTTTTTTTTTAAAAAAAAAAAAGCTTCACCACAGCAGAACCGGACTAACTCTAACCATTACCATAAGTTCCACTCTGAATCAGAGAGAAATGTGAAATGATTTGTGAAGAAATTAAAGCTGAACAGTAACTGGAGCCTGCAGCATGATAATGATCTATCAAAACATATCAGTGAATCCGCCAAGGATTCGCTGGGAATTAAAAAAAAAAAAAAAAAAAAAAACTTTGTATTGTATTTCTTTCCTGTGCCAGAGCGCCCTTCCTGTGGCAGTGCTGTGTCAAACACTGACGACCTCCCGCTTCCTGCAAGTCGCATGGAGACGGGCCTGCCACGAGCCCCGGGCCTCACCGCCAGCCCCTGAACAACCTCTGAGCCCCTACTCTTTATCTATCATCGATCCGTTTTGAAATCGTTCCTGACTTTGACTCTCAGCTTTCTCCTTTCAGTTTAGTAGTTTTATTACTTTCTATCATTCTTCACTTGTATATTCTCCTCTTTTTTGCTTTCCTCCCCTATTTTTTATTTATTTTTTTCTGTTTGCCACTTCTTGCCAGTAACACCCCCTTCTCCTTACCGCTTCCCTCTGTCCACACCTCTGTTCCCCTCTGCATCCCTTCTCTCTTTGTCTGTCTGTCCAGGTCAGAAGAGGGTCTGTCAGACATTTCCTGTGCAAGCTGCAGATCTAGACCACACCTTGCGAGGGGATTTCTGAAACTGCTGTCACCAACACCTCGTTTGTAAACTTGATGAAATACTACCTGCATTGCAGAAAAAAAAAAAAAAAAAACAGTACATACTCACATAGGGGCCACTGGAAAATTATGTTGACTTTTCTCTGCTGAACATTCAATGTTTCCATGATAAAGAGAAAGTCGTGATATAAGAATGTGGTTATTTCACCTTAGCTGTGGATCATTGCAGCTCCTCCATAGTTATTATGGGTTACTGCTAAAAAACTGCATTTAAATTGATATTACACAAATCTAGACTACTAAGTGGGTGAGCTGAAGGCAGTAAGTTAAAATCGAGGGGAATCAAAGTAAAGGGAGACAAATGACCATCCATCCATTATGTGTTGTCTACCTCCATCAGTCATCAGACAAGAGGAGGGGTACACCTGCACACCCTCCAAATATGTCATTGTTTTGTAAAACTGAGTTTTCATTTTGACATTGAAAGGGTTTTTCTGAAAATGTTTCCGTCAACAAAGCCACATTTTGTTGATCCCGACTGATTTGTGAAAGCAATAAAAGGGTAAACCATCCAAAGGGGTGAATACTTTTTTAATAGACACTGTGTGTTCCTTTGCTTGAACTCGGTCTCTGTCATACGTGAGCGCCTGTGTGTGAGAGTTGGCACGGCCCCACATGTTCCACAGGCCAGCGCGTCTTTGACTTGGCCTCACTTCTCCTTAGATCCAAGGTCACCGAAGTGTGTTTGTGCACACGTGCCGTCGGCAATAACATACCTTTGCTGTGAATCTGTGCGCGCTGCCCCTCTGGTCTTCTTCCAGTCCAGGTCAGAGGCAGGAAGAGCGCCGAGAGAAAGGGAGGAAGCAGAAGCCTCTTTCTCGCTGGCTGCAGGTACTGACCCTGAGCTCTGACCTTTAACTTCAGCTTGAATCTTTCTGGCAAAACACAGCTCTACAATTACAGCTCTAAATACCTGATGTTGCTACGGTTACAGAAAGTTTAATATGGGTCAGGTGAGTAATAAGGAGCAAGCAAGACGCAAAAAAACTCCAGAAATATAATTTAAATCTTTATTATCTTACAACAATGACAACTTGTTGTTTTTGTTCACTCATTACATTTACAGAAATGTTTAAGAAAGCTGCATGAACTGATTAATTTTGTTTTCCCAATCATCTGTTTTTCTTTCCTTCATCAAACTGTTTGACAAAGACGGTGCGTTGCTGCTTTTAAAAAGGCTGTACAGACATGAGCCCTGTCCAAATCCAACCACACCCACAGAAAAAGGTGCTAAAAGCTCAGACCTGAGCGATTTAAACCACCTGATATCATCATTACATGGATGCTCATAGCCAGCCTCACTGTTTTTGGACAGAAACCATGACTTTTGAGGGTGATAGATTGTTGTTTTGTTTTTTTTTCTCATGGTGCCGTTTCACCAGGTCCAGAAGAATAACCTGCTGCCATGTTTGGCAGGCTCCAGTTTGCCTTCGATGGTCGGGTTGGGCTCAGGACGCGGTCTAGAGTGGTAGGGGTTCTCTGGGAGAGGCCGCGAGGTCGACACTTTGGTTACCTGTCAGAAAGCAAATCAAAACATATATATATATTCAAAGGTTTATTAGATGTTCATTGCAGAAGCAATCATGTCTTTACAGGTGAGTATGTTACCATTATCACAGCATATCAACGTTTTAAAATGGTTGTGATTCTGCTTAAAAAAAACAAGCATTATAGTGTGAAGGCAGAAGATTCTGAATTCGGTCCCCTGATTAAAAACATTTAATTGGGGTTTTTAATAGTTTATACAAACTTAGATATATATACTGCTTTAATTAGACCATGTTAAGAGTTTACAGTTTCCTCCCCATGACTGTCCTGCTGAGTAGAACTCACCAAGATGATTTGTTTCCAAATCAAACTGATCTGGAAACAAATCAGTAGTAAACTAGTTTGTGGAAACTAGTAAAATAGTTAAAGTTTACTTGTAAACTAGCCAATTCAACAAGTGAACTAAGCTGAAACGCCTCTGAAGTGAAGAATAGGAACTCAACTATGACTAAATCTTATTCTTTCAAAAAACTATTTTTAGTTTGCAGGTTAAAAAAAAAAAAAAGATTAGATTCCTAATCTTTTTAGTAAAGATCATAAATATGTCTGATGATCTGATTCGTTTGAGTGCAGGAGAAAACATATTTTTGATATTTCAATTTTAACAAAGGGGAGCCGTTGCTCTAATACCTACACTGTCCAGCCACTTACAGTTTAACATTCAAAGTGGCCATAGAGTAACATAGCACTGACCCTTTCCACCTGCTACTTGCAGTCCACTGGCTGAAGAGAAAAGTTCAAGATTTTTCTATCGCTTATAAGAAAAAGTGATTTGATTGTTTAAAAACATCAACAAGCAGCTTTGTACTGTTTACTAAAAGGCCTGGTGTGAGCTGACTGCCAGTTACAGAGTCCAAATAATTAACCAGGACAGTCCGTTTATACTCAGTAACACTCTGTGCTACTCTATGAGGAGGAAAATGACTAAACAGATTTAACATATTGCAAAATGTAAATAACAGAACAACATGTAGATGGTGTTTATATTTATCATAAACCTCTATGTCAAAATTAGAGTAAAAATTAATGTCAGACACAACGTTTCTGTTCATTTAAAGCAACTGGATCATACAATGCATTTTTGTAATGCCATCAGATTTTGAAACTGTGTGAATTTTACTCAAAGTTCAGATGATGAACATTTTGTGTTGGGGTGTGTATAATCAGCACAAACAGAGAACCACAGTACATTCCTCGTCTGCCTCACCTTAGATAGTTCTCCCAGGTCAGGTCTCACCCAGCCCAACTTATCAAGGACACAGCTGTCAAACGCTTGCTGCTGTTTGCGGCAGTGACGCAGTTCTGCCAGGTTGGTGTAATCCAAGCAGGTCCAGTACTCCGTGAAGGACTCGGCACAGTTTCCCTTGATTTGTCTGAGATGTATACAGACATGCAATTAGATTTCAATCTGCTGCTAAGTATGGCTCGCAACGGTCAGCAAAGAAAAAAGTTTTTTTGTTGTTTTCTGGTTTTCAGAAATGACATTTGTTACCTACAGAAACATCAAAGTAACTTATTGCTGTAAAACTGAAGACATTTTTCATTCAAAACTAGAAAAATAAATTGTTCACAAACGTCCAAGCAGGTCAGACCAATTTTATTGTTGTAGTTATTGTCAAAATGTCAGTATTTTTTCAGTCTTGGAAAATGCTGACTCCTATATGAGATGAAAAATAATAAGATCATGAAAAACAGCAGCATATGTTCTAACATTTGTATGGTTACAGCCTTATTGAATACCTTTTACACAATGGAAACCAACTGTTGACATCAAAATGTGTCTTGGAAAACAAGAAGTAAATGTTCAACCAAAATTTTGAAGTTTTTTAAATTCACTTTTATAAAAAATATTTTGTATAAATCATTATCAAGGTGTAAAATGTCTTATCGTTATATGTACAGAAATTTGGAACTACTTTGACAATTAAAGATCTCTTCTGTGTAAAAAACTTTAAACTTTGCCCTTCTCAACACGTCAATCTGCCACATAATAAAAAATAAAAAAAAACACCATATATACTGTCTGAGGTTGAATTTCTGAAATATTTCATAAAATATGAACCTTACATCATCAATCCTCCCTCCATTCAGCCTTAAAATCTCACCAGCTTTTTCTCCTACTGTCGTTCAGCACTAGTTTTTGTTACAAGCCTCTACAGCCCATAATAAATTGCAAAGCCTAATTGCAGAACAAGACACAAAACCTGAAACTTTTTAAAACTTCAGCCTACATAACAGCTTTGAAGTCCATAAAAACAACTATCTAGGACCAACATTTGCAACTTCAGACCACATTTTCTTCCCACATGTCCATCACTGAGTAAGAAACATACAAACTCTGACCACAAACCTCTTATGACCAGAGTTTCATATGGACTCCTAAAGTCTGCACTGTGTTGGCTCCAGCGTTCAGCCACATCTTTAATCACTCTCTGAGCACGGGACCTAGGATCCGTTTTGCAGATGACAGCAGGCATGCAATTTTTAAATCGGAAAATGTAATTATTCTTCACAATCAACAGAGTGCTGAATTCTCTCAAATACCAGAAGAATATTTCTTCTTAAAAAGGCAAAGAAAATTGTTACACACTTATTTTTCACCCTTAAATATGAACCATGAACTCAAGAAACCAGTTAGTCAACCAATCTTTCTAAATGTCATCTTGCACAGAAGCTAAGATTTTGGGTAAATGCGCCAGGCACTGTTTCCATTCTTATGGATTAGGGATCACAAACATAAAATGCAGAATACCTAAAGTTACCTGAAGAAGTTAACGGCACATTCATTGACCTTCCTCCCTTCTTGTATACACTTTCTTGGGTCCTTCTCCTCCCAGCGACAGAGCATAAACTCCTTATTGGGTTTGTCACACTGGGAGCCATAGTGGTGTGCAGCAGCCTTCAGAACTGCAGATGAGACGTTTACCTAAAGCAAAAAAGAATGACAAAACATTTTGTCATTCTGGGGGTTGTGAAAAAACGACCAATTAAAAAAGGTCAAAATAATTCTTTTTTTTAGCCTCTTCATGCAGCCTACAATTTTTGCTCCTAAATGAGAGATGAATAAACAAAGGTGTGTCGATTAAAGGCAGGTCTAGAATTTAGGGAATGTGCCATTTTAATCGTTTCATCCTTAAAATACTAATCAATTACATTCTTGATCAAGGAGAAAAGTTAATTTTAAGAAAAAGACAATGCAAAAAAAATAAATAAATATATGTGATCCATGTTTTAAGAAAATCTGTTTCCCACAATCCCCTCAAACGTTTTTCCCCCAGACGTTTAACTAACAAAGCAGTGGATTAAGCTGTCGGTTATTTGATCCTAGATATTTTTCTTCTTCACTAAAATACTTACTGGATTAGTTGACATGTAAAACACACAGCATTCCCGTTAAAGCATTCCGTAAATGCTTTAACAGGAAATGTAAAGCTAATATGTTTAAGATGTTTTCGAGTATGTTTTTCCCTTGATCTCAGTTACTTCCTGAAAACATGAACGATTAAATTAAGATATGCAATGTATAGGTTTTATTTGCTTTATTAGAATTTAAAGCGATACTGTTTTTAGTCTTTTTTTGATACCCCACCTTCCCCCTTTAATTTTCTAAATTATAAAACTATACTGACAAATGTTTTAGGGTGCAAATCACATCATAGCGTTGTCACATTGTGCACTGGTCTGTTTGCCCTAAACTTTTGTGAGGAGGAAAAGGAGACTTCTTCATTAAGTCTCTTCATACATGCTTTTGTGTCTGTTCAAATGCTCTTACATTCGATGACAAGAGTGTTTTTCACTTTATTATACACCAGCCTTTGCAGCTAAGATATTTATAGAAATAAACAACTATAAAACTTCACAAATCCTACTGCAATCAAAGAATATTTGTCATGCGTCATATGCATTTTTCTGAAGGTGGTACACAGCTTGGTCTGTATCTGCAAATGCATAAATAAACTTCCATTCTTAGCAAAGGCTTGAGTGAACTGCAAAAATACAGACAAAATAAAGACAGGACAGGCATATGCTGAAACAATGAAGTAAAAAACTTGCTAGCAATTGTTATATAATTCTGCACAAGTTCTGCCGTATTAATGAAAGTAACAGATTTGCTGCATAATTAGTGGTTTTATAGATGGGAATACGACAAAGATCGTCAAGTGTTCCGTAAATTAAACAACTACTGAAATACAGAAAGCTTCCAGTTTATCTCAGTGTTGACAATGACCTGAACAACCGACAGCGATGACCTGTCTTTCAAGGACATATTTTTTTTTTCCCAAAACGAAGCCACCTGAATTGCAAATACAGTTAAACGAAGGATGTAAAGTAGTTGCTATGAAGTCATTGTTGTCTAATAAGAAGCAGAATGCGAAATATGACTTGTTTGTCGTGCCGCAAACCAACGTTATCATCCTCTTAGCGTAGTTCCTTCAGAAGGACATACATACATTTGTTTTGTTTTGTTTTTATGGCTGGTGGACGTGCACACAGTTATTTCATTTATGCATAATTCATCTAGCAATTCTTGTAACTGACTTTCACCAATATGACAACTTCAATGGGACAGTTTTAGCAGCTAGCCGGTTTAGCTTGCTAGTTAGCTACCATGCCTTCTCTTAGTAACAGCAACCACCGCTTACCTCATCCACTTTCAGCTCCTGCAGAGTCGGTACTTCCAGTGTTGTCGGCATGGCCAACTGCTGGTTTTCTAATTCAGGCGACTGAAATCAAACACGGCAGGAAAAACCATTCAACGTCCTCCTCGCCTGTTTCAGGGACGAGAACGACAAGGCCGCAGAGAGGAAGGTCAGCTTACGTCGTCGTCATCATTCTGATGACGCAGTCACGTACGAGCTATGTGAAAATCTTAAAGCATTTAAAGAAATTATTTGAAATAACTTATTTACGAAAAAATAAAAACAAGTAATCTTTTCGCTTGGCATTTGTTTTATTTTTAATCTTTTAAGCAGTCGGCTAAGCAAAGCGTAACCCTTACCACGTTGCCATGGTAACGTTGCACAAACATTACCCTATCTTAATCTCCTTTCTTTGTGGTTGTGTTGGAGTACATGCGAAAATTACCGCTAGTAACCTTTCTTTCTGACATTTTTATTGTTCTAAATTAAAGTTGTTGGGGTTTTTTTTCCACTTAGTCTTTTTCTATATTTTGGTGTTTCCAGAAAACACAAAACAGTTTAAGCAATGGAGCTGATTGGAAACAGATACAAAGGAAATATAAAACATGGAAGGTAAGTGTATTAAAAAAAGAAGAAAAAAAGCTAAATTGTATTAATATTGGGGCATAGCAAGTTATCAGTCGAGAAGAAGTTGATAATGAATTTGTTAATCTTTTTTTTTTTTTTTTTAACCATAGGATGGAAGGTTATGGAGAATATACCTTTCCCACGGATACTAAGTATGTGGGAGACATAAAAGATGGGAAGTTTCATGGCAAAGGCGTGCTATACTTTCTAAATGGAAGTAAATATAAAGCCACCTGGGAGGAAGGCATAGCTGTAGACGTGAGTTTCTTTGTGAGTTTGTGTGTGTTTCTTGCTTTAATTTTGGATTGCATCCATCCACATACATGACTGTGTTTCGCATTGGTTATACTTAATGCTACATCTGTTCCCTTTTAGCAATCACTCACCATTATTGTTGGGGTAATTATGTTGCTCCCATTATTTCCAAGTATCATGCTTTGTTCTTCCCTGCTCTGATATGATCTTTCATGAGCTTTGCAAGTAAAGCGATCATTCCATTTTTTTTTTTTTATCATTGCTGTAGTTGTACTCCATTTTAAATGTTGGCAGCTCTGAACCATGGTAAATCTTGGCTCATGCTACCTTCCACCTGCATTCAGTGCCAGCCTGAGAACCTAGCTCTTTTCAGAGTCTTCAGATTAGCTGATGCAGTACTAAGGAGTCTTGTTTTTTCTTTATGTATAATCTCTTTTAGTATTTTAATTCAATATTGAAATATTAGCCATTTCCTCTATTAAAAATTATAAAAAGTATTAGTCCATTCAGTGTTTCCAAAGCATAAACTATTGTGGCTTTATACCCTTGATCTTTTACGCATCCTATCATGTTATATCCCTGTGCGTTGAAGCTCACAGCTCAGTTGGGAAAAGCTGTTGACAGGACACATATTAATTATTCACAACAACAATTTTCCTCAACCGATATAGGAGGCGCAGCAAACATGGATAGAGATGTGCTCTGATCAGTTGAAACTTAGCATTAATTTTCTTTCGTTGTTTTTTTTTTTTTTTGCAAAACTGAAAGTGCCCTAAAATATTTGCAGCTGTAATTGCATCACAGTTTGCTTGTTTAAAGCATCTTCTCAGGATTGCTGAACAAATTCTGCACAACACCCTTTCCAGATTTGGTTGTGGCAAAAAATAATAATAATTTTCACTTCCTTGGTGTTGGTCTATCACACAAAAAAAAATCAATTAAGATACAGTTAAGTTTGTGTTTAATACTTTTGCAATTATTATTCTGCATACATTGTTGGTTTTGCACACAAAAAAGGTTTAAGATATCCATCTCAGAGAGGCCTGTCTCAATCTAAAGACAATAGGGGGAAATATAAATTCTTTTGTGGCGCTTTAAGCGCTGGTAGACTGTCATTTGAAAACCTCAGCATCTACTTATCTCTTCAGAAACCATGTCTGAGGTATGCAGGATAACCCCCTAGACCTCATGTGCAACTGTTTGTGCTGGAACTATTTTCTGTCAAAGAAGTATTCACATGGGAAATTTTCAACAACACTCTGAGCATTATCTTGACTGGTGTAGGTTTGTTTCTGCCTTTCATCTTTTAAAATGTCATCATTTACTTCTTGTTTGTTTTCAACTGTAAAATAAAGCATACAGTTATGCCAAAAATCAGCACATTTGATCAAAAGAGGTGAAGTAGCAACACCAAAACTATTTATGAGGGACAAAATTCTGATTCGTGTTTTCTATGTTTTCTTTCCTAAGGGGACATTTGTCTTCCCTGATGGTCTGGAGTACAAGGACAAGGACTGGGCCTACTGTGATGGTTATGACAGGCGTTTCTACACCGAAATATGCTATGGATTCATACCACCAGGTTGGAGTTCATGTATTTGCTCTGATTCCATTTTTTTTTTTCTCTGTTCGAATTCCTTACAAACACACATCGATTAGTTTAAAAACAACAAAATAATTCACATAGTAGCAAAGTGACAGGAAGATAATTGGCAGGTTTAAAGGCTTGGATCAAAATTAGCAAAGAAATCCAACAAATTACAAAACAAATAGAGAAGATAGGCAATAAAAATGTATTCAAATGCTACTTTTGATTTTAAAGAGTGGCAGACTACATATAAAAAAGCTGAAACATTTTCATTTAGATTTTTAAAACCACACACAGTATATAATTTGGATCATATAAATATGAGATTAGATTGAAATTTTGGCTCTTGAGGTGAATTGTTTTCCAATTTATGGGAATGGGGATGCCACATTTTTATTATTTTTTTGTTTCATTAAGTCCAGATGCTTTAATAGCTCTTGCAAGGCCAGGAATGGGAAGTGCCAAATACCACTTAATATGATCTTGCTGGAAAATAATGAATACTTTAGCTGAAAACTGTGAAAACTAGACATTAGAGTTGCACAATAAGACAACATGATTTTTCCAGCTCCTTTCTATGTTTTTTTTTCCTTCATAGCTATGTCCCCACAATTTTTTGTGAGCTTTAGCATCTCAGCCACAAAAATATCTGTTCTGGGCATATTACTGGCATGCACTCTAGAATTTATTTTGATGTTGCAATAACAAAACTGCTTCGATGTACTTTGTAACGTTACACGTACATGCCTCAAAAGCCATACATGTGCAATATATAGTTTCTGTTTGCACGATATAGCTGTCTAAGAATCCAAATATTCATTGTCAGACTCTGATTTTTTTGGAATATTTTAACTATACTTGTTATTTCAGATGAGGAAAAACTCAAAATCATTGGTGTTTGACCATTGAAAAAACATTATTTGCAATTTTTGGGGCCATCTACTTGCGATCTTTGATGGAGTGACCCTCCTATTATTTGTAGGATATTCCAACATCTGTTTTTGTAATTATCAATAACTGCTTTAAAAGTTGGGGACTTTTCCATCGCTTACATGGAAAAAGAATCAGGTGGAACACATTAGAAAAAACTGAGTAATCAACCAGGAGTCACCTTGGTGTTGCGCAATAGCATCAAATATTATTTTGCCCTTCAAGTTGACATTATGATTATGGAAAAAGAAAAGGAAAAACAAATCTTTAATGCTTACCAAACTTTCTGTTGACACAGGAGAAACTCAGCTGACTAATATACACCCACCACCAGTTATCCCTGATGGCTGCTATGATTGTACAGATGGTTTCTATGACCCAAAAATCAGAGTCATCACTTCCTACTCTGGCGAATTCCTCAGAAATGCAGGTAAAACAAACATGTGGTTCGTGAAAATAAAATATGTTGTTTCACCACTTTTGTAGCCTTCTCACAAAGACAATCCTCACGAACTGATGTCTTCACTGTTACAATGCAGTCACATATTTTGTGAACTGCATGTTGTGAACAAAAAGAGCCTATAGTTGTTGTGTAACTGCACTTTTACTTTAAAGTAAACTGAGCTCGCGTCTTTCAGTTTATGCATTTTTCTTCCACTAACCTTTTGCCAAATTGGCTCGGGCTGAGTGAGGAACATCCAAGCATGCAGGGCCGTGGTGCCAAAGTAAATTAGAAAGATGAAAGTCAAGAGCAAACACAAATTTCCATTTCAAATTATGTACACAGACTTTTTTTTGTTCAGTGAATCATCTTTCACTGATATACCGGTGCATGTTAAATCTTTTTACTAAGTGACCTCGTAAAGAAATACCATTGCAACAGTAACAGTGTTACTGTTCATTCAAGCCCTATGTTTTAACTTGAACATGTTTCAGTTTGTGTAAAACAAAGAATCCTTCTAAAGGAGGATCAATGTGGCTTTGCAGGAGTCTTTAGAGCATATAGTCTTTTATTCATTTTCCAGTTGTCTCGAAAAAAATGTTGAGTGGAGCGGTTGGTGAGACTGCTGTCTTGAAACAAAAAGATCTTGGGTTCAAATTTTAGTCTGTGATCTTTCTGCATGGAGTTTGCATGTTCCCTCTGTGCTTGCGTGGGTTCACTGTGCACTTCCAGCTTCCTTGGTCTAAAAACATCTGTGTTAGGTTAATTAATCTGCCTACTTTGTCCTCGGTAGTGAGTGGGCGTGTTTATGCAAATTTCTATGTTACACTGTGATGGACTGGCGACCAGGCGAAGGTGTACCCTAAATATCCACCACCGTCCACGATCCTGCAAAGGAAAAGTAGATGTAGATGACGGAAAAAGTAATGTCTCTTTTCTAAATTGTATTTATATGCGAAGGACGCAATTGGAATTTAAAGTCAATTCAGTTAATTCAATCCTAAAAAGTGGAATAAATAAAAGACTTCAGATGTTCGATTATTTTATTTTTTCAACATAATTTTACATATTCCACATAGAATTAAAAAAAAATTACATTCAAATTAAAATATTGTACTTCTGAATAGTGGTGGTAGAGGAGCAGATGTTGCCCGAAAGACCTGAGGGTATAAACCAAGATGAAAGCTTGGAGAGAGAGGTCCAGCTGTGTAGTTCTGGTTCTAAAAGGAACAACCAATAGGATTAGATAAAGAATATTGAATAAGAGGTGGCAACACAGACAATATTGCCTGAGAAGTAGATTTTATGCCTAACTAAAGGTGCAGTTGTTTCATAAATGTGGTTTGAGTAGAACATTTTCTCTTTGCCTATATTCTAAAAGTTTCCTTGGTCTAGGAACGTTTTGATCACAATGAACCTATGGAGTGAAGTTAAATGAGACCCTGTATTATCTGATTTGAAATTTCTGAGTAATGTCATCTGACAGGTATCCTTTTACAGGCTTTTTTCTCTTTTTTTTTTTGTCCAAAAGGAAACATTGGATGCACATTTCACGACCGAATCAATGCCCAGAATTTAAAGTAAAAGCAGTCTTTCAGGTGCCCAGAGAGATATTCTCTAATCCTCCGTTCATCAAGTCTTCCAGACTTGATGTGACACATTGCAGAAAATGATACCGTTGCTCACCTCAGGACCTTACAGGAGATGCTGAGGAATTGTCTGGGGATACTAATCATTTCAGCACTTTGATCCAGAAAGCAACAAACTTACTTGGCACAGGAGGGAAACATGAAGGAAAAGCAAAACCACAGCCATGAGGAGCATTTTAGAAAAGGCATGGAAGGAAAAGCACTGGTCCCCAAACCTGGTCCTCAGGGTCCACAGCACCACTTGTTCTGGGCCGTTGTCTGCTGTCCAATACCTCTGCAATGAAGCACGTATATCAGAATAGGGAGACATTTAAAACCTGCTTGGCAGTGAGCTCTCAGAGGATCATAACTCACTTTGGTAGATAATGAAAGGATCTTGGAGAAAAATGACTAGAAATGACTGAATGCAAAAACTGATCAGGATAATCACACAGGAAAATCAGAACTAAAGAACAAATTGAATACAGTCTATAACACCAAATATGACAAATAAAACTAAAGTTCCACATATGTCAATATAATAGTTGTCATGTACACACATTCCTCCACCTGAACTTTGGACCTCTGCAGTTTTTCCAGAGTACGATGAGCCTCCTGGCTGCTTCTCTGTTAAATAGTTTCCTTCCCTGACCTGCCAGTTTTAGTAGACAGCCATGCCTTGGTTGGTCAACATTCGTACCATACTTTTGGAAGTTGGATGCTGTATGAGATATTGAAAGCTTAGAACATAGTTTTCTAACCTAAGCTTATTCTTGCCCTGAAGCCTCTAAGAACAACCATATTTATGCTGACATTACATCAGAAAATCAGCAATTGGTTGTACCAGATTTAATTTAGGGGCATCTTATTAAGGGGACTAATTCTGCCAGATTTTTATTCAGCAAAAATGTGAAATTTCTTGTTTTTTTTTTCACTTCACAATTATGTTTGTGTTTGTCTATCACATAATATCCCATTTAAACGACATTGAAGTTTGTGATTAAAATGGGGCATAATGTGAAAAAGTACAGTGAGCATGAATGCTTGCATTGCCTTTTGAGGCTTTTATGTCTCTTAACAGGATCTTTGTTGAACAGCACCAAGTATTTAAAGACTCAGATTGTTATATCTCATTTTCAAGTATAGCAAAGATTAACCAAAATGTCAGAGTTCTCATCTCTATCGGATTGACCCTGCATTTGAGAATTACCAGCTGTTTGCCCAGAATAACGAAAATAGGTATTCAGATAGAAATCCTGAAAGAAATGTACGAGTAACTCGCCTAAATGTTTTTTTTTTTATTTTTTATGCAGGGTTTGTATTCAGATGAGCTATTTGCAATGTAAAACAGAAGTTCCACCAGCGCTCAGATCTTATATTATTACATGTAAAGGCAGAAGATAAAATCTAGATCAATATCAGATGCTTAAGATTGCAAAAATGTGCTTTTTATATTTCTTCCTGCTGCAAGTTCTTTACTATTTTAACTCTGGCAGTGACGAACAGAAAAATGAGATAAGGGGGGAAAGGGCAACAGAGAGAGAATATGGGGGAAAAAAATGTGTACCAAAGACTGAAGGCATGAGGAACAGAGCACCTTTGAACAATACTCACTCTTGATTTAAATAGATATAGAGGAAAAACAGGAACTGTGGAATAGATGTCTGCCTGTTTTCGGCCATGGTCGTGTTCATGCCCTCCGAGGGATGTGCTCTATATGTGGCGGCTGATGACAAATACTATTTATGCCTATGAATTCTCTCCCTTTTGTCTTGATATACAACTCTTGAAAGGAATGCTTCTGTATCCTGTAAGGATTTATTTTTCAACCCTGGGAGGTGAAGGCATATTTGTCAGGGTGGGTGTGAAGACTGAATTTATTGCCCAGCGGCTTCCGCCCAGGATGAGGACTGCAAAGACGATGGGACACAGGGAAGACCCGCCCTCCCAGTGGGGGTGCTTACTGTGGCAAGAAAGAGGAAGGAGATCCCCATGCAGCTGTGGATGTGAGGCGGTGGAAAACTCTGCCAGTGAAGACAAACATAAAAAAAAAGTGTTGCATAGATGAAGCTTCTTTTTACCTGCATTCTGCTCTGTTAGCTTGGACAGATGTAACTGGGAAGCATGAGCCATGTTTGATTTACTGACCTCCTTGGTTACTAATGTTAACATGGATAAACAAGCCATGCTGGAAAGGTGCCAAGCTGCAAAACAATAGGATCTGTGGCTAATATCTCCCAAGTGGTTACAGATTCTTTTGGAGGACCTCAGAAGCAATTTTTGCATAGCATCTTGCAGGACAAGAATGCGAAAATCTACAGGAAATTGTAGTAGTGAGTAGACACAAATGGTTCGCTGGGCTTAAGAAGTAAGTTCAAACATATATCTCAGTCTTGTGTGTCCTTATTTTCAGCAGAGTGTCTTGGTGAACCTAAAGACGTGTCTTTCCAATACTGTATGTATTTCTATTCTTAAAATAAGATTTAGACACCAAATGAAAAATGTGTCCATTGGTTTTGAAAACAGAAGAAGAAAAAAATGGCACAGACATGCAAGTAGCCAAAACATCCATTTAACGTCGTCGCCGAGTGTGGATTGGGGAGGGGGGAGGGGGCAGCATAACGAGGGAAACACGTACAGCCCAGTGGGAAGCATGGCAGCGTAATGAATTCCTGCCGTAAAGGCAGGGAGGAGGAGAGCAACAGCCACAATGATTCAAAATAGCATTAGTACTTGTAAGAGTTGAGAGTCAGGACAGACGAGGAGATGCATGTATGAGCCACAGCAGCAAAAAGATCCGCTGACTAAAGAGTCCTGCATGGTCGGACCAACAGGCCGAAATCGGTTTTCATTGCCACAGAAATCGTCATTTTGGTTTCAGCCCCCTTAAGTCAAATTTCCTTAACCTGATTAGCCTCAATGTTAACAATTTAGCCATTTTTATTACAAAAAAAAAATACACAGACAATAAAAATCTGGAATACAACCCACACAGTGGACAAAATGAATATTTCAAATAAATTAAAAATGTCAGTTTTACTTAGTTTCAAGGAGACTTCTTGGGACATTTAATTGTGTTTGAATTTGTTGCTGCTGATTAGAACTGTCGCTTAACTTTGGAGGTGTAATATGAGAGATTTGCGTAATTAAAAAGAAGGAGAAAAGATGCAAAGGTCACATCTGCACAATCAAACCTCCAGCATCATCTGATTGAACACGGTGAGTTATTTTCAAAACAAATCCCCTCCCGCTTAGTTTTTACTGTATGCCCGCTTAAGCAGAATGGCCCGTGTGTTGCCATATGATTTGGTCTCACTTTCCTGTTGCTGGAATGACTGCTTCCATCCGAAACTGTGGACAGAAAACATTCCACTGCCAAGGAAAACACGTCTAGTGACCGAACCGTGGCCTGCTCCCTTTGTCCCCATCCAGTCGAGGTGTTTTACAGACAGATAAAATCAGCCTGGGCTCTGGGGAGTGGAACTGAAAATTCTTTGGAAATTCTCCCTTTTCAAACATCTTTCAGACTTTCACCCTAAAACTAGAATTATAGCTTAATCCCCTGATCTTTGACTGATGAATTAATGTATTTTTTTTTTAGTTTTAATCTGATATGAAAGCCACAAGCTGATTTGCTGACAGTTTCTGGGAGACGCTTGACTTATGTGAGCGCATTTGAAGGTTTGTTTTGGCGTTTTCATATTGTGTGATTTCACTGTAGTGCCTCTACAAACTGTGCATACAGGATAATAGCACATAATGATCTTAAACTGAGCCTCTGGTAACTGTCACAGGAGCAGTCGAAACTTCTCCTATTTCTGCCTCGGTTTCACTTTAACGTCCCGCAGAACCCCATTATGTCTTATGCAAATCACCACAAATGAAGAAAACAGATTTTTTAATTGAGCCAGGTTGGGTGTAACTCTTTGTGTACATGTGCAAGTGTTAAATCGCAGCGATCAGGCTGGAAGGAAACACTTTTCCCTCAGAGTGTGTTTTGAGGGTTAAGATAAACAGACTCTAACAAGGTGCCATTATCGCTTCCACACTCACTGCTGTGTGCCTTGTATGAAGCTCATCCATGTTTGTTGTCAGTCCAGATCGTTATGCACAACAAAAACTGCTGAATGGGAGTAAAATAAGAGAGTAAATCCTTATGACAAATACACCTGAAGTGTATTTTATTTTTAAGGTCTGGATTAATATGAACAACTATTTATATCTCCACACTTTCCACATTTGTTTTAATCTTCTTTCAGTCTTTATATCATTTTATCTATTCATTCATTTATTCATCCATCTGTTTCCTCTTCCATTCTTCCTTCCTTTGGTCCATCAATTTTTTCATTCTTCTATCGGTTTTTCAAAAGTAAATATTGACTTCGAGGGAAAAATCAACTGCAACGTCTTCTAAATCTATTGAGGGGGGGGAAATAAGATCATTTAGTATGCACAAATCTCCAATCAGAGCCAATTAAAATAAAAATTGACTGATTCCAATTATTGGCTAAGCATTTGGTACATAATGTTTAGTATTTAAAAATTGGGACATAAAAAAATTGGATGTAAAAAATGTACAAGAGCCCTGAAAATAAAAGGTGTGATATTAGCTAGCTAAATTCTGTCTATTTTTAAGTTCGTGGACTGGAAATGTTATGCTTCAATACAGTGCATGCAAAGCTTAAAATATACCAGCCACCTGTGCCTTCATTTAACTTAAGCTGCCAATTACATGTGACTTAAATCCTCAGATAAACGCTGCTATACAATCTGAAGAGGGCAGAATTACAGCAAATATAAAAATGTCTCAATCTAATCATCATTAAGCCGCGGGCTGTGACTAATTGAGGTCAGTCTCATGGAAACACGGATATTGCCTTCAGTAATTACCTGCCCCATTTTCAACTACGTCACAAAGACGGCGCAAATGTTTGCTGTGGCAGCTGTCGCGTGGCCGATAGAGGGTCCAATTGCCCTCGCGATCGGCGCAGGTAGAAAGGAGAGCCGGGCTGTTATGCCCTTGAAGTGGCTGCTGGCGTCCACGCCCACCACTGCCAATTACACACAATCAGCGCGCGAGCCGCAGACCAGCACCTCTGCATCTACAATAGGGGCCCCGCGCGCTTCGTGGACTCTCGGGGTGAGGCCCGCGAGCGGCTCAAGTGCGTGCAGCTGCGCGCGCTCCAGAAAAAGCTCACTTCCCCTGCAATTAGCTTCTCGTTTCAGCGTCTAACAAGGAGAAACTGGTTTATTATCGGCTCCTCTGGCGGTCGTTTGGTTTATAAAAAAAAAGAAGAAGAAAAGATTGGCGTCCATTTTTGGTGGGTTATTATTTGTTGGTGTCTGAAGTGGCACTAAGAAGTTATTTTCCTCTAATTGTTAGGCTTATCTTGCTTTGACAAATTTATCCAAGATTTGAATGGCACTTCAGTTCTGCAGTCTAGCGTACAAAACGACCTGCAGTTTAAATATGCAAGTTACTGATTGTTACACTTAAAATGAGCTCAACAAAATGAGCTCAGCCTCTTCGTACTGTGCACCCTTTATACCGGAATAAGAAGACGGTTCATTTTTGTTGTGTTTTGTTTATTGCGATTGTTGATTGTCTTCAAAAACCAGGAGACGTCTGGAATTTGCTTTCAGAAAAAAAATAAAATGAGTGGAAAAATTTTTTATATTTTTTCCTTCTTTCATTTTCTGAAATACAAAGATCTGGTAATGCTTAATCAATGCAGGGGATTTTCACATTGATTTATGTGAAATTGGTGAAACTTATTTAATTTGCCTCATCACAATATGATTTGAATATTTTGTCATGCATAACTGCGTTTTTGATCCAATAAGCAAACACACATTCACTTAAAAAAAAAAATCAAATGCTCCCAAAAAAAATTTTTAAAGGCCATTTCACTACATGTTTGGGATGAACTAAACCAGTGTTTTTTTCTTCAATGCTAAGGAAAGTATTAGTGCTTTCCTTTTTTCTTTTTTTTTTATTTAATTTTTGCAAAGAAAATTACCACACAGTAAAGTTTACAAACAGTGTTTAATTTGGTCTAGAATATCCCATTGCTTATTTGGAATGCCCAACCGTTACAGATTTTGAACTAGAACTTATGTAAATTAGTCCAGATGCCCCAAAAGTTGTGTAATTACCCCATAGCACACTCAAAAAGCCAATTCCAGCATTGTTTTTGTTTTGTGGAGCTCAAAGATGATAAGATACTATTTAAGCAAGTCCATCATTGTTTTTTGTACTCAAATATCCAGAATGCTGTAAAGCAGCTGAAAAAATCGATTTGGTCCTAAAAACAGCTATTATGAAAAATATTTTATTGCTCTGGGAGCAACAAGTAATAGCTTTTGTTTCTGATATTAACAAGAATTTATTTCCATCTAACCCTTTCCACAGATGACAATGAGCATGAGTGGATAGTGAGCACATGTCGCAGGGCTTGGGATGTGCCTTTAACTGATATTCCTCTGCAAACCTCTCGCAACCAGAGCTGAGGAGAACAGCAAGATTGTCTTGAAAGTGTTTTAAATTGTGCTACTTCACATAAACTGAGCTGTGGGGGTTTTCCCTCTTTCTTCATTGTACTCAAGACATAGCTGAATAAAGGAAAAAAACTGTAATCAAAGTTGTTTTTTCTTTGAGATGTTTTTTTTAATCCACCTGCAGGATTGTGTGTTTCAGTACTAATGCATCGTTATGCTTATGAAATCAATTCACTTAAAAGTTAAACACTTTAGTTTTTGCAGCAACTGAAATTCATTATTTGTTCCTATTGAGCAAACTCTTCAAGTCAAGCACTAAAGCCAAAATTTATTTTCTAAAAGATTTGTTCCATACTTTTATTCTCTAAAAACGCAGTTAGAAGTTAGAATAAAATGGTTATAGACTTTAATTAAGACAATATAAACTTCAGATAAGCAGGCAGCACTTATTTACATAATATTTGCAGACAATATAGGACCTGTCAGTCACTTGGCTATCTTTTAATTATAATTTAAAGATACTTTTCTAATGCAGTTTTGGATACAGTTTTCCTGCTTTCTGCCCATCCCACATTAACAGGAACAAAAACAACAAGGTGTCCAGTAATAATGTGAGACAAACATCATCCTTCACCCAAAGAGCGAAACATGCACACAGCAATCAGCACACGAATACTCAGACGTTGATCCAATAAACAATTAGGCTTTGTTATCTAAATAGTTGCTTTAATTTCACTCAAGACTAATTTAACTATCATGCTGATTTTCCCGTGCAGCTCCACTGGTTTGATGTTTTAAGATGATAATCTATGCATTGTCACAAATAAACTTTAAAAAAAAACAAACAAAAAAAAACACACCCAAACCAAATTATCACATTCTGATTTATTGCATTTTATTACACAAAACATTTATGATGCACAGTATCTCAAATAAAACCCTTTGTTTTATTTCTTTTTCTCTTTTTTCTTGTTAATATTTCTTGACTTAAAACGATGTCAGAAAGTGGGAAAAAGTGCTTTTTACAGGGATTTTTATCATGTCAATAAATACAAGGTCTTTGAGGTGTCGTTGGATTCTGTCTCAACACAACGGCCATGGCACTAAGATACAAACGCACACTCACTCACTCTCCCCGCCCCAAAAACACACAGAAACACATGCACACTTCTCACTATGTACAAACCCACTTGGTTTAATTGGGTCAATATTGTACCAAAGTTCTCAGTTTTCCTTATGGTGTAAAAAAACAAACAGACACACGCGTGCGCACACACACACACACACACACACACACACACACACACACACACACACACACAGAGAGGCAAATCAAGCAACCTTCTAAATATAAATTACTGAAAATACAAACGTGACTTTCTTCAGGAATGGTTTGAGTAGATGTTAAAATGAGATTTTCTCTTTATTAGAAGCATTGTAAAAGAATTAGGACAGATGCCAAAGCCTTTATTCAATAAAAAAAAGACTCATCCAATTTCATGCCTTTTGATTTTATTTTAAGAGAGAAATGTGTGAGTGTAATCTGGAGGGGCGTTTTATAAATACTTAACACCATTTTAAATCATCTACCATCTTTAGTTTTGAATTTACTAATGAGGAAGCTTTATTTTTAATGAATAAGGCACATATTGTTTTGTTTGTATTTTGTATACCAAAATTTTAATTGTAAAGCTGTTAAGCTAAAATGTATTTGAAAACTTGAATTTTTTTTGTTTGTTTTTTTATTACAATATCATTAAGTAAATAGTTATTTCAAATGCAAACAGTATATCGTTTACATTTAACTTTCCTTCATGGTTGCTTTGAGAAAAAAAAGAAAAAAAAAAGAAAGGGAGGAGTCTTACCTCTAATGTGTGAGCCCTTCCCAACGGGCCACAGTGACATTTTAATTTAATCTTCAACAATCTGACAACCTTCGAGAAGCTGCAGTCCTGCTTCTTTTATCAATTACATCCATTTAAAATTCCCCCAAGTTTGAAGGTGGGTGAAGAAAGCGGAAGATGCTGTACATGAGATTCAGGGTGGGTCCGTCAGTGGGTGTGAAACACAGATTGAGAGTTCCTGCTGATAAATGCTGGAAGGTGACTGATTTGACACGCTGGTCACAGGCTGAATGTTCCCGTCCACTGAAAAGAAGAGAAGACGACGGCAGATCTGTCCCTTTCTCCTTCCGTCCATGATTGGGAGATTAGTCTTTTCTCCACGACTCTTGCACGATCTTCAAGTGAGGTCAGGCGGCTTCACTGACGGCAGATCCGGAGTAAAGATCCAGAGGTCAGGGGTCACGTGGAGAGCTAGCGGCTGAGGGGGAGCTGAGGCAGCGACATGGCCTGGTGAGGGAGGCTCTGAGAGGTCAGGACGGAAAACGGATGACCTGAAAAAAAATTATTTTTAAAAAAAAAAAAAAAAAAAGAGACACATAAATGAATATCTTGTCTTTGATGAAGCTTCAAAAACATCGTAGAGCTGAGAAGAAAAAAAAAAGTAAACTCACTATCGATGTACCCGTGAAGAGCTACCATGCGCGCGCGCTCAGGACTGCCGAACGGGGAGTAATGCAGCTCATCGGGCAGTGACGAGGGTATCCTGGACTGAGGATGACCCTGCGGAGCACCGCTGTGCTGGGGCGTGTGCTTTTTATGTCTCGCTCTGCAGTTTTGAAACCACACCTATGAAGACAGAAAACATCATGTAGCTACGCTTTTTCCCCTTCACCGCTTTATGCTGATGTAAAATAAAGTCAAAAAAACAAAAAGCACCTTAATTATTCTATTCATCTGCTTTGATCAAGACAAAGAATCATTTGAGTTTGCATGCAGATGAGTAGACTGTGAATATGTGTGACCTTTCTGACCTGTATAACTCTTCTGCTCAGGCCCGTCATGTCTGCCAGTTTCTGTAGCGTTTGGGCGTCTGGATTGTTGTCCTGAGCAAACTGCGCCTGCATGATCTTCGTACGTTGACAACATATTAATAGAGATGAACCACAAGAGTTGCTAAAAAAAAAAAAAAGATGCAAAGTTTCTAAGACACTCATTGAAGGGAGAGTCTCACCTGTAGCTGCTCTGCAGTGAACGACGTTCGTGCTCTTTTGGCGGGTTTAGGCTGACTGTCCTGTTCCGTCGGTACTGCACCCTCTAACGTAATACCGTTACCTGAAAAACACACCTAATGATCAGATATAGATCCAGTGCTTATTTGCAGCTAAGCGGTATCACACGTTTTGTGTAGTGTCAGCATCTTCTGCATCACGTCCAACAGATCCATATTTTACATTTTTAAAATGTTGAGTTGCACCATGCTTTCAAAAATATTGGCTATCCCAGATTTCAAACTTTCAGATGACTTACAGAAAATTGGCAAAAGTTTTGATAAGCATTAAGAAGATTCATAGCATATCAACACTGTCAGAAAAACATTTTTAACCCCCCCAAAAACATATTATCTATTAAAACTCATATTTTGCATTTAACTCCAAAATATTTTTGCAGGATTTTATGAGTAATGGTCCTAAAATAGTTTCAAAATAATTTCAGACAGCCGTCAGTGATTAAATAGGCAAAACAAATGACTTTCAAAGGTGCTTTCATTTGTCATGTTAAGTGCATTTATGTTTTCTTCTAATTTTAGTGCTAGAACTTATGTGAAAGATAAACTCAAAGAAGTGCGTCGTTTGTTTGTTTGTTTGTTTGTTTTTTTACACAAAATTAAATCTGAAAAGTGTGTTGTGCATTTCCACTCAGCCCTCCCAAATCAGTAATTGTAAAACTCCTCTTTCCAATTACAACAGCAGATATTTTGGGGTGTATCGCTACACCAGCTTCACAAACCGAGAACTGAAACCTTTGCCCTTTCTTCTTTGCAAAACAACTTAAACTCGGTCAGATTAGATTAAGAGCTTCTGTGAACATTCATTTTTAAGTCCTCCTCCACATTCTCAACTGAATTTGAGTGTAGATTAATATGTGACTATTAATCTACACAGCAATACATAATAATGTATTGCTGCATTATTATGTATGCAATACATAATAATGCAGCTGCGGCGACTGTATTTTCTGGGTAGTTGTCCTCCTAAAAAAAAAAAAAAAAAAGGACTTCGACCATAGTGCAAAGTTTTACAGCATATTACAGCTTTTCTTACAGAATTACACTGTATTTAGCTTCATCTAAATACTAACAAGAAACTCTGACCAGCTTCCTGGGTCTCTGCTGAAGAAAATGATCTCCACACCCACAGTGGTTTTGCATGTAGCTCAAAAGAGTTTGACTGACGGCAACGAGTGCTAGCTGTGTGTCCTACTGCAGAGGGCATCTTTTTGCCTGCCTGTTAACACTTCTTTCCGTTGGCTAGATTTGTGGACCAAGTTGTCCTAAATAACAGTGTGAGCCACAAGAAACTATATGCTTGCAGCATACAGAAAATGCATAATGGCACAGGGAAAACATCTTTGCCCCTCACCACTCTCAGCCGCCCGCTTCAGGTTCTCCACCATGGTGTCGTAGTGGATCCGACACAAAACCTTCTCCTCCACCAAGCCGAACTCCTCTCCCGTAGACAGCTGCCTCTTACACGAGTAGCACGCAAAGCAGGCCAAGTGGTATGCGTTCCCCCTCGCACGACGCACCCAGTCGCTGGCATATATCTGCCGCCCACAGCGGGCACACTTAGTACCAAACCTACTGTGAAGGAGAGAAAAGGAGAACAGCATGGGGCGGAGGAGGAGAAGGAAACACAGAGAGAGAAATGAGGGCAGTGTTCACTCGAAAACAAATCCTAAAAATGAAATGTGCACAATTCCATCCTTTTCTTTCAGAACACTTTTTTTTTTTTTTTTTACCAAGATGAAGTATGCGTGTGTATGTGTCTGCGTGCATGCGTGTGTGTGTTTAAACTTGTGGCATTTTCCGAAGCCTTTGAGGGAAGAAACCTTGGAGGAGGATGAAGCTTTTAGAAAAAAATCCTGCAAGCTGAGCCTTGAATACAAACAAACCAACACCTGCAATTTCCTGGTTGATCCATGAAGGCCCTGACACACACAGACACACGCACACCCCCCTTCCCCCCCAATGCACGCACACACACAAGTAAACACACATCCTAAATTAGACGGAGGAGCAG